TAACACAGTACAGATAGCAAGGTTGTTTTGTTGCTCATCAGAATGTAAGGTTTTGCCCACCCTTATTTTAGGCCAAAAATCAGCTAAACAAACCCCTGTAGGGTATCAGAGTGAATCAGACAATTTAAGATTCGACCAGATTGGTGTTGAACAACCCAAAGAGCCAAATTCCACAAAGAGGCCCAGGATAACAAGACAACGTAATAAATCTGTCCACAATACCCCGGCGCCACGAGTCTGAAGTGAGCCTAAAGAACTAGCAGCTTTGAGCAGCTCACAGCATTAAAACAAAAGAACACTTATTGATAGTTCCAACTCAGGAAGGCGTTTGTCAAATTTGGGGCAAGTAACCAAGATTAATGGTCAAAGACACAGCATATCATGACCATCTCATGAGGAAAATCATTAGTAGAGACTGCATTAGGTGATTTCCCCCACCCAGGACAAGAACCAGACTGAGATTCCTAATGAGACCTTTTAACCTTGTTGTTCCTCACAAAGCCCACACATTTGACTATCATGTTCTAATCACTCATTGTGTATGTATTTTGTATAACTTGAATAGTTTATAGGTTTATATTCATGTTGGGTACGTATGAGTTTGAAAATTCATGCTTTAAACGTTTCTATCAATCAATACTTTGTAAAATGTATTATATTCTTGTTATAGAAATCATGTCCAAATCATACTCTGCAAGAGAGGGAAAATTCGGACCATGTGACTATAAGATAACATGTTGATTTATGTATTGGGAGGAGAAACACAGCAACACCCAAAGCTAAGACAAGGTCTAACTGGTCAAGACAACATTTGGGATGTGTCCAACAGCCCGGTTTAAATACTCAGGACACCATCAAATTATGCTTTTTGCCTAGTTGGTTTTTGGCCATTGCTTTTAGTCATCGCTTTTTGCATTAGGGCTTTTAGCATGATTTTTGCCCATGAATTCTTCGAGTGCCGTTCCAGCGTGCTCTGGCTTACATGCCAGCAGCTCCTCTAAAACCATGAGGAGAAACACCACCTAGTCTCGTTGAACTTTGCTCTTTTCTTTCTTTTACTTTACTTTCTTTTCTTTTCCGTGTTCTGAGTTAAGTTTTGCCGCAACGCCGTGTCTCCGAGTTCACCTCTGAACTTTGCTCTTTTCTTTCTTTTACTTTACTTTCTTTTCTTTTCCGTTGAGTATTTCGTGTTCTGAGTTAAGTTTTGCCGCAACGCCGTGTCTCCGAGTTCACCTCGAGTCTGTGACCGCCTCAAAACTTCAACCAGCCCACAACTCCGCATCTTCAGCCAACGCCCAACCACTGGCTTCCCAAGAACTCCGCATCTTCAGCCAACACCCAACCATTGGCTTCCCAATACATCACTTCAATGACTACTAAACTTCCAGCCAATCAGCAACCTTGGGAAACCCCTTTCTGCAACAAGGACAACAAGGGAACCCACTAAACGAGCAACGCAAGTACCTCCAGATCCTAACTGAACTGGTGCATTTAATATACATTTTAACCTCATTGAGGAACGCAATGTGAGGGTTAATTAAGTGATTGATGGTTGTTCAGGTCTATGCAATTGCACATGTTGCTATA